TTCACCATGGAATCCTACCTCTCACTCCGGTTAGAATTTTATGCCCCAGGGTCATGCTCTTTTCTTCAGTTCCTCTATGAGTTTTGCCTTTCTGTCCTGGGTGCTCACTGACTGTCTTTCTTCAGCTCTGTTTGTGTTTGGTGGTGGAGTGGTATACTGTTGCATGTCATCTTCACTTATTCAGACTCACATTTCATGGACGACATGCTTCTGCTTACCCCTCCCTGTGCCCAGTTAGTCACTCACACCCACTTCCTTCTTCGAGAAGCTTCTCAGGTGGGTTTCTTTTCTGTGTTAGATTAGTTCTTTACTAACCCCTCACAGTATCTTTGCTTCCCTATTTGGTTGAGCCCAGTCTTCTCCACTTTGGCTTCAAGATATCGAGCAGACAGTCTTGTTTCCCATCCCTTCTCCACTTTTGCTCCAAGATATCAGGCAGACAGTCACATTTGCCATCCCTTCTCCTTCTCTCTGTGTCCATGAGGCTCTGTCTCTCTCTTTTGGGATGTGATCCTCGTTGGCAGTGCTTATTCCCTTGGGTTGGACACACTTGCATTCCCTTCATTGGATACTTCTCAACCAGTAGAACTTTCCTCATGATTCCTTGGACCATCCAATTTTCCTCTATTTCTGAGTTTTGGGGTTGGTGGTCAGTCAAAGGAGGCTACTCTCCATACCAACATCCTGGTACTTGGCAGTTCATTGACCTCTGTATCCTTCCCTGCAGAGGAGAATGGTTTTGGTTCTTTCTGCAATTCCACTATCATCAGCTTTATCACTTAGACAGGGGGAACTACGTACTGATTTCTATCTGGTCAATCTTTGGATTTTGTGTACTGGGCCAGTGACCTTGACGCGACTCTTCTGGTGGGTCATGTTCCCCGAGTTCTGATTCTTGTGGCCGATTTCTTATCACGTCACCACCAAGTTCTCTTTTCTTTGGTGTGTTCTCAATAGGGAACATTGCATATTTGTGTTTCCAATTCACTGGTATGTAACTCTTTCTTCCTTTTAGTCTTCAATTCCTCACCTTTCTGCTGTGGAGATAGATGCTTTCAGTCAAGATTTGAGGGGTCTTCACCTGTATGCCTACCCTCCAATTTGACTCATCTTCTAGGTCTTTTCCTCTATTCAGATCAAGTCTTGTTGTGCTCTTCTGGTTCTTCTGTATTAGCTATTCAGATGTTATTCCCACTGGTCTGCCCCTTACTGGAGCAACATGCCTTATTCTTTTCTCTGTCCTGTCCACTCCTCAGTCATCCCCAAGCTGAAGTTTATCATCCAGACATCTCCACACTCCTTCTTTCAGAGCAACTTTTGTCTAGTCACGTGCCTCAGCTCAGAGGCTCACCCCTATATGCCTACTCTCCATTCAGATTCCTCCTCTCCTGGGTCCTTTCCCTTATCTAGACCCCTCCTTCTTGTGTTCTGTTGGTTGCTCCAGATTGGCCATCTCCGACATTGTTCCCTCTGCTCTGGCCCCTGTCAGAGCAGCAAACCCTGCCCCTTTCTCTTTCCTGTTCACTCCTTTGTCCACCATGATCGGTCGTTTTTCATCCTGTTATCACCATACTCTATTTTCTGTGTGTCTTTTGTCTGGTCCCATACCTCAGCTCAGGGACTCGCCATTTGTGTCACATCTTTCATTGCCTACACCTTTTGCTCTTCCACTTTGTCTATGTACCATGGGCTTAAGTCTTGCATTAGTCTTAGGTCTTTTTCCCAGAGTTTCTGTCCCTCCTATTTTTATGTTCCTCACCTGCCCAGTTTTTCATCTAGTTGGTTGTTCAGGGTTTGTCTGTTTCAATTGTTGCTCTTTATAGAGTTACCCTGTCAGATTCTCTCCTTTCTCTCTCTTCCAGAAAGTTGCTCTTCACTGGGTTGTTCCTTTTCTTTCTTTTGGTCCATCAGACATGTTTCCTTTGTCCTGCCAGATTGGGATCTCCATATTATTCTTCCTATCTTGTCCAGTTCTCCCTTGAACTCTTTGCAATTTGTTCCTTGTAAGATATTCCTCTTATGACTTCAGTCCTCCCCCTCCTGGAATGCAATTTTATGACATCCATTATCATTTCTCGTTATCCAGATCTGGCATTTCTTCCCTGGACTTTAGCTAAATGGGTAGGTTGTTTTGCTTTTTTCTCTTCCTTCCTTTTCCCACCAGTATTCCCATTCATTTCTGGATCATCTCCTTTGTCCTGTTCAATCCATGCTCTGTTGTTTGGCTCATACTGTCTCCCATTGTTGTTCCCATTCCTGTCCCATTTTTCCATGACATTCCTGTTTTCCCTGATCTTTCACCTATTATGCTTACAGGTTGGGTTCATTAACTCCTACACCTGGTGTATTTGGATGTGTCCCTCACAGGTCTCCTTCTTAATATTGTTTCTTCACCCCTAATTTATCATCTAACTCTGTCTTTCACTGCTCGACTCCACCATTGTTTGGAGGGGATCTTTCAGGCAGGTATTTGGACAATTCCTTAAAATGTTTTCATTCTTTATCTGCACAACTTTGCTGTGTCTTCTTTGGGCAGATGTTGTCTTCATCCTGTGGCAATTCTGCACACGTCTATTTGCCTGTGACTAAGGTAAGTTTTCATATTATTATTAAATTCTCTTTTATGGTTGCTTATACATCATATTTCAGGATCCCACATGGTGGCTGGTGTTGCCTGGTCAGGTATGCTGCATTTTGTGTCATAGCACTATATCTATGTACTTCTCCAATGCTCACTGTGGAAATGGAGTGTTTCTGTAAGACTACCGGGCACTTTTGTGGTGGTGTATCTATATCTATACATCACAATTTTTTATCAATATATTTATATATATGTATATCCTCAATACCATCACTCATGGTCTTCATGAGTAAAGCAGATAGGGATTTCTGCCCATATCTACTGACCCGTGATTCGTCCAATCCAGGTCTTTCAGCTTCTTAAAATAGGGAAATTCAGACACCCATTGCACTGTTTCCAGTGGGTTGTTCCTCTGGACCCCCCAACGCATCTCCCCGATATATGTACTCTCTCGATGAAAATAGGGCTATCGTCACTATGCTGTGTAATATACACACAATATGGCATGAATTCTATTATGCAAGGTGTTTCCTGCCCAGATGCACTGCACTTAACATAATCCACTGTATACCAAGAGGCTTCCCCCAGATGTTTTTACCTGGTTGGACCACACTTGTTGGTTTTATAAACTTATGCAAGGTACTTCCATATTGTTTTTGTTCTTGGACTGCACTTGGCATAATACATCATATCCCAAGGTGTGCCCCCTGAATGTTTTCTGCCCAGGCAGACCACACTTGGCCCATTCATATATGGTCCTCTAGCCCTAGCCACATATTCTGTTTGTTTCCACCCTTATCTTCTTTACCAGCTGAAGAGCATACCTGTTTCAGAAGTAGTGCTATACCCCACAGTTGTGCCTTTGTATTTTAATTGTGGCACACCTGCATTATTTATAGTGGTCGCTCTCCACTTCAGTATTTGTTCTTGCGCCTTCATCCCAATGTGGGATTCTAGCTATGGGGGAGTGAAGATAGTACTGTTTCAGAAGTTAACATTTTCAAACTCTGAAAATGTATTACCGTTAGGTACTTACATCCTCTCACTCATGTACCACCCTTCCTCCCCACTGATTTGCCACTGTTTTCAGGTTTGTATATGCCAATTCTCAAAAGTGAGGGTTGTGCCACAAGGGTAGAGGGAGCTACGTAGACTAGTATAGAGGGCACAATGGGATTGGTGGAAGGTGGTCACATAATCAACACATGTTGCTGCAATGATGCAAAAAATATAGGGATATAAAAGACTGGTGCACTTTTATAAAGTTTACCCGTGCCTAGAGGTCAAATGAAGGTCAAGATGGCTATGGGTGACTAGGTAAGTGCCTATTGGAAATACATTTTCAGTGTTAGAAAATGTTAACTTGGCTCATTGGATAGAAAACAGGCTGGATGGAAGAAAACAGAATGTTGTTATAAATAGGGTTTCAGCCACATGGGATTAACATCATAGATGGGGTACTCTAGGGCTCTGTGTTAGGATCTTTGCTCTTTCAGTTTGTATCAATGGCACTGATGAAGGTATGGTCAATAAATTTACATTGATGATGATATTAATTTTTGGGGGGTTGTTGGCTGTGAGGAGGATGCTGCTACTTTACAAAAGGATGTAAATTATTTGGTGAGCTGGGCAATTATATGGCAGATGACTTTTAATTATAAAGAATGCAAGGTAACACATGTGCAATTTGAATTATGAGTATAATTTTGATGAGAATAACCTTATCAGTGTTATGGAAAAAAAGGATCTGAGTGTTCTGGTTGATCAGCCTATCAAGTCATCTGAGCAATGTACTGTTGCTAGTGCCAGAACAAATAAGATTTTAGGTTGTATCTACAGAAATATTGAATATAAATATAGAGAGGCTATAATGTCATTGTATATGTCATTAGTTAGCCCACATTTGGAGTACAGGCTGAATACATGTTGAAATATGGTTTTATTTACCCACAAGGTTTTCAGTTGTTCAAGAAGTTCTTTATTAGGTAAAATTGCAAGAGTAAACTGAGGAGTTATTTTAAAATAATGGAATACAACTGTGTGTGAAAACCATGAGATATACAACTTTGATAATGTGTGCAATGATATGAGAGTAGTCTCAGTAACAATATGCGTAATTGGCATGATGATGTGTGTTCAGTAGCCAATCAGTTAAAAGTTGACCTATTATCCAATTGGAAAGTTTAAATAGGATGTTCAATGAATGTTTTGATTTAATTCACACTCTAGAGAAGGTTTTAGCTCAGGTCAGAACACATTATTTGGGAGAATAGGTGCAAAATTTTATCAGATGCCATTAAACTGAAGTTGGTAAAAGTTGAAACCTACTTAGGGAACTGTAAATGATGAAGAAATTGTTAGTGCTTTTGTAATAGATGTGTTATTCAAGATCTTTTTTTTTTTTACAATCTACTTCCAGTGAAGTAGGTGGGAGAACACTACTGAGACTTCTGGTTGGTGATGCTGGTAGAGAAACTGAAGAATTACTTCTGCATGAAACTGTCCCTCCCTGGGTAACTGATGTGGTTGTCTCGGTAATAAATTTACTTTCTTCTTTATCTTGAGCCATTGATGTTTCTATAATTGTACAATTGTTCTGGAAAGCTGAGATCATGCATTTAAGTGGCCACAGACAGTTATGTTTTCCAGTTGTTTAACAATAAAACTAAAGTTACTGAATTTATGAAATATCTTACAAAATCTGTTTTTAAGACCTACACTTCAGTACTTTTAAACTGTTCACAAAGTGTTGAAAATAAACTGTAGTAAGATGAGTTAATTTTATGATGCCATATTGTGTATTATGTTCTGAAATACTTAACAGGTATATCCATAGGACTTATGTAACGGTCAATTCCTTTATATATATAGAGATGAATTTTGAGAAGAACTGTGTTGAATTCTGTACAAAATATGCTGTGTATTAAAACTTGCTTAGACTGATTATTTGCTCCAATAAACTTGTTGCTAGTGGTGTTAATATTTTTAATTAGATATTAATTTTTTCTGCATTGTTTTTTTTTAAAGAAAAACATGCCAAGGTTCAACAAGATTCCATTTTACTTGCTTGCTCATTCCTCATCCAGTGTTAAACCAATTCGAAAGTAAGTTGTTTTTATCTTCATAGATATGATTTTCACTGCTTGCTGTCAGAGTTTGAGGCATCAGCTAAACCTGTCAGTTTAGTGAGGCATCAGCTAAGCCTATCAGTTTTGTGAGATTTTTGTTAAACCTGTCAGTTTAGTGTGGCATCAACTAAACCTCTTAGTTGTGTGAGATTTCAGTTAAATGTGTAAGTTGTGTGAAACTTAAATATGAACCTAGTTTGATTTCTTTGCATATAAGACTACCTAATTACTAGCCACTGAAATCAACACAGGATCCAATTGGTTGGAACAGGTTAGATAGAGCAGTGATCAGTGAGAAAAATTATCAAGTAAATGTTTAAGCTCTGTGTCCTCTTGAATGCATCTGGTGCTTGAGTGACTGTTTTAATATAGAACATTATATTTGTAAAATCTGTTTACCAGTAGGTTTTTTGGGAAATACTTGTCTACCGATATTCAGTTTATCTGTATGTTTCTTAGGGAGCGTCTTTCAGCCAGTGATATGCTACCTGTTAGGAAAGTGATTGAGCATGTGTATGAAAAGTTTATAGTTGGAGCTGGGTCAGAAACTGGCTCTCAGACAACTAGTCAAGTGGGTGGTACAGGGACTCAGGACAAAGGAGAGTCTGAGAAAGATGAGGAACGTAGTTCTATAGCTGAAGAAAAAGTTGAAATACTATGCCAAGAACAGGTAATTTTGAACTGTTGATAGAAAATTTAACTTTTTGTGTTTAATAAAGTGCCATTCTTATGATGACTTATTGTTTACATGTGGAAAGTAGGCTGATGAATCATATATTTCTTTGTTAAATGTTATACTTTCAAAACATACTTACCTTCGCTGATGCTATAGCTATTTCTTGATCTCCAGGGTTTTTACTCTATGCCCATCTAAGCATTGAAAACACTTGCTCCAGTCTTTTATACCCCACTTATAGATGAGTGGATCTCGATTATACCTGTGATCATTTTAACTCTTTTTCAGCACAAGCTTGGTCCCTGGGACTGACCTCATAACCATTTTGTGCTATAACTTTTAAATTAGTAAGCGAATGTTAACGAAATTTGGCATATTATCAGTAAACATTACAATGCTTCATATGCAAAATATCAAATTTTTTATTAAGT